GCTGGTCCTGTGACTCCACGGGAGAGGACTCCTGGGAGCCTGCACCTGATTCCCTCTGTCTTTACTCCATTTCCCTTTCTCTTTGCTGATATTGTTGTGTGTCCTTCTGCTGTCATCTTAGCCCTGAATATCACTCAAACTGGGGGTGGTCTTAGGGTCCCCTGACATATCTTACTATAATTCCTCTCTTTTCCTTACCCTCTATGTTCAATTAATCACCAACTATTATTAGCTCTGCCTGTTTTGAAAAAAATGTCCTATATTTTCCACCCTTACTGCCTTCATGCCACAACCGTGACTCCATCTGGGCACCACCCTCCCCTAATTTCCCACACTAAAAACAGCAAAACAAGGAAGAGTTTCCCAGGAAGTTTTGTTTGAATAAAAAACCTTTTGGGGTCATTACAAAAGTTATCTACAGTAGAAATAATGAAACCATAGGTCCATAAGTAACATAAAGCTTACAGAGATGAATATCTAACTCTAAAATTCCATTTTATTAAAAATCACAGATATAACTTCTGATTAAAAACAAACAGAGAAAAGTAGCAAAGGCAAATTGGATAGTATATTAATTTTATTTTGAATTATTACCTGGAATATTTCATCAAACAAATGGACATAATAAAAATCTTTTGTGGTTCAATTAAGCAAATAATTTGCATAGAAATTGCTAGCTCTAAGTCATAGGATGCAGAGCTCATTGAGTTGTGAATTAGATTAACATAAAATAAGAATCATCTACCTGTGTGCAAAAAAAATTACAATTTAACTTTAAATAGGACGTTTTCTTCAGTCTTTGGTGAGTGATTTACATACTCGTATTCCCTGCTATGGATAATACCATATAATCTCATCTAGACCGAATGCGAGCCTTTTAAGCTAGACACCTCCATTAACTATTGTTAAAGCTACTGGATTCACTTTAATGGCCCTAATATTGATCAAGAACATTATCTACATAACATGATCTAATGAATAGGCCAAGGTAAACATGTTTTAGTGAAAAGAACATTAAGTTTGTGGTTTAATCCCATTTTTCTCTTTGGAACTTTGTCATTAGTCTCCATACAACGTTTGGTTTAGATCAGTGATGAGCAACCATCTTTGGCCTAAGGGCTCTAACTAAGGGAAAACTACATAAAACAGTTAAGGCCACATTATTTTCCTCTTCAAAATAAATATAGCTTGAACTTCCGGTCAAGATGGCTGCGTAGGTAAACGCGGTATCACGTCCTCCTACAACCACATCAAAGTTACAACTAAACTACTGAACAACCATCATTCAAAACCACTGACATCATGCTGAATGGAAGTCCTACAACTACGGAATTAAAGAAGCCACCACATTGAGACTGGTAGGAGGTGCGGAGGCGGACGAGCTGGTCCCACACCCACGTCTCGTGGATGAAAATCAGGAGGATTCCTCACTGGGAAGGTCCTCCCCGAGGACTGAGGGGTCCCCGTCCCACACCAGGTGCCCCGCTCAGGGTTCCAGTGCCAGGAAGAGAATCCCCATAACTTCTGGCTGGAAAAACCAGCGGGAACTGAGGCTCAGGGAGGCTGAGGGGGCTGGAGCCCCAGGCAGCTCCTCTTAAAGGGCCCGCGCACGAACTTATCAGACTCTCTCCCTCTAAGCTTGGAGGGGAGGCAGCTCCAGGGGCGCCAGAGATATACAGGGAATAACTGAGCTGTTTGGCATTGGAGCGAGGGCTGGAGAGAGGGCTTTCTCCAGAACAAACGTGCTGTCAGAGCCCTTTGTTCCTTAGGTGAGCCCTTCCCTGGGGTGGCAGACAGCTGCCATATCTGGGACTCCAGCAACCTGGCTCACACTGGTAGCCCCGCCCTGGTGATTCCCTGAGGCCCCGCTCCACCCAACGTTCAGGACCACCCAAGCTGTTGCCAGTTGCTTAACCATAGGATTGGCCTGTCTTGGATCCTGCTTCAGGTTTTTTCTAAATTCTTTCAAATGAGCAGCATTTGGTCTCAGCTGGCCCCAAACCTCTTGTTAAGTAATACATAGAAACAAACACAGAGAGGCAGCTGTAATGAGGAGACAAAGAAACAGGTCCCAAATGAAAGAACAGAACAAAACCCCAGGAAAAGAACTAAGCGAAATGGAGATAAGCAACCTAACAGATACTGAGTTCAAAATACTGCTTATAAGGATGCTCAATGAACTTAGTGAGAACCTCAGTGAACTTAGGGAGGGCCTCAAGAGCATAAAAAAGGACCAGGCAGAAATGAAGGAGGCACTAACTGAAATAAAGAATAATTTACACAGATTCAATAGTAGAGTAGGTAAAGCCAAGAAGCAAACCATCAATTTGGAACATAAGGAAGCAAAAAACACCCAATCAGAACAGCAAAAAGAGAAAAGAATCCAAAAAAATGAGGATAGTGTAAGGAGCCTCTGGGACAACTTCAAGCGTGCCAACATTCGCATCTTGGGGGTGCCAGAAGGAGAAGAGAGAGAACAAGAAATCGAAAACCTGTTTGAAACAATAATGGCAGAAAACTCCCCTAACTTGGTGAAGGAAACAGACATACAAGTCCAGGAAGCACAGAGAGTCCCAAACAAGATGAACCCCAAGAGGCCCACACTAAGACACATCATCATCAAAATGCAAAAGGTTCAAGACAAAGAGAGAATCTTAAAAGCAGCAAGAGAAAAGCAGATAATTACCTACAAGGGAGTTCCCATAAGGCTGTCAGCTGATTTCTCAAAAGAAACTTTGCAGGCCAGAAGGCAGTGGCAAGAAATATTCAGAGTGATGGTAAGCAAGAACCTACAACCAAGATTACTCTATCCTGCAAAGCTGTCATTTAGAATCGATGGCCATATAAAGAGTTTCCCAGGCAAGGAAAAGCTAAAGGAGTTCATCACCACCAAACCGTTATTATATAAAATGTTGAAGGGTCTTTTTGAAGAAAAAGATAAAATATACGAACAAACAAAATGGCAATGTATACATATGTATCGACAATTGAATCTACAAACAAAATGAAGAGGCAGAACAGAAACATTCTCATAGATACAGAGAACATTTTGTTGGTTGCCAGATGGGATGGGGGGTTGGAGGAATGGGTGAAAAAGGTGAAGAGATTAAGAAGTACAAATTGGTTGCTAGACTGACAAACTTCAAAGGGAAGAGGGTTGGGAGGTGGGAAGAAATAAACCAAAAAACTTATGTGTAACCAATGGACACAGACATTGGGAAAAGGCAGGAGGGGGGTGGGAGTGGGGAGGAGGGGTTCAAAGGGGGAAAAATGAGGAACATCTTTAATACATTCAATAATAAAGATAAAAAATAAAAAATAAATAAATAAAAAAACAAAACAAAATAAATATAGCTTGATGACATTCCCATGGGGGGAAATGTGTAATTGTACAACTTTGCTGAATAAAAGAAAGTAAGTGAGGAAACTCGCACTGCTTTGCAGCTACTGAAATATTTATAAATGGCTGTTTTTGCAATCCAGATATCGAGCTTTCTAATTGTTTATCTGAAATTAGATTGTGTAAGTGCTGCATAGCTAGTCAGGTTGCTCATCACTGGCTTTGCTTGTGATATTGATCAAAATAAGCTAATTTTCGTTGATTGATTATTTTATTGATTACAAAAAACTTTGAGAGACTATCTTCTAATTTCAAAGTTATATTCCATTGTTTACTGACTTAAAAAAAATGCTTTTAGTAACAGTGCTTGTTGGTTCAAAACAATCTTTTGGGATTACATTTCCCTCCACTTCAACATGTATTTATACACAACATTGGCAGGAAACCAGAGAATGTGAACAAGAAAACAAAAAAATGTGTTTTTAAATAACAGAAATTCCATCAGTGTTGATTATGGTAGATTATAAAAAGCAGATTTAATTTTTGTGTGCACAATTAGGCACTGACTGAGGCATTTAGACACCAGTGATTATAAAGTGCATCGAATATAAATTTTGACACCCCTTCTCAAAGGAATAATTCAATAAAACTCAGCTATCAATGAGCTCAAGAACATGCATAGAGGAACATTTACTACTTACTCATAACAGTCTTTTATTACTTATAGTCCTGCAATAGTAATAGCCACATATTGTACTTGCATATGTCATATTTTATCCAAGGATCTCAAAGTCACTATATCAAGCAATGTGATGTTGGAAGCTTAAGATTCCAAAGCATGTTAAATCTACTTAGTATGGCACAGGAAATAGAGTCCCAATAATAGAACCAAAATAAAAGCTCAAAGAAACAAGCCTAAATTTCCTGTGGTTTGTAATTTTCGGAGTTTCCAAATTTGCCAATAGTATCCTGCCATACCTACACTACAGACCCCAGGTAAAAATGATTTTTACATGTCAGGTATAAGATGGGGATCAACTCATAAATGCACAATTTGTCTTTTTTTTTATAGTTCAACAGTCCATCTTTGAAAGCACGTGGTGGAATATTAGATGTGGCTTTTTAATAATGCTACCTGACACATCAGTGAGTCTTAGTGACCTTGGCTGTGATCCCCGAGTAGAAGAAAACATTTCACACTGGAATGACATACATACGTGTATATGTGTAAAATATAATGGAGCTATATATTTTAGCACACTTACATTCAACACGAAAACAAAAGTGCACTGGTTCATTGAAGATCAGATTTTCAGTCTTTAAAAGGCTTACAGTCTTTCTGTCTTACTTAAAGCTCTTAGAAGGTTTAACAGTTTAACTGAGAGACCCAGGTTAGTATAGTTTAAAATGAGTTTCTGTGGAATCCACGAAACTGCCAGGCCCACGGGAGCGGGGTTATAGGCCGAGTGAGAAGCCCAAGTAAACGAGGGAGGGGCCCCTGAGCTGTTCTGTTCTTGCTTCAGGGCGCGAAGCACAGCTCTTCTCGGTCAGGGATGCAGGGTGGGCACTCAGAGCATTTTTTTCTTTACAGAATTCCCAACACTATTTGAAAGCAATTTCTAGTTGGACAATGTGATTAAGGTTTCTATCTTTCGGGTCAAATACGCAATTAAGCTTCTTAGCTCTTCCTATGTCCTTCTTGACCTCGGAGGAGACGCAATATACGTTCGTTTTTGGTTAGTTCTGCTGGAAGTTTATTGGCCTGAAAGAAGAGAAGATAGGCATTAGTGAATTCCCACAGTTGGTGTGGTCGTAGGGACTCCAAAGAGGGGGCTCTGACCAAAGCTTGCTCCTCCGCTGGTGAAAAACCCCACTGACTCTGTTTTGTATTAAGTCATTAAAAATCTCTATTAACCCACCAGTGTCGCTCAGTGGTTGAGCATTGGCCCATGCACCAAGAGGTCACCGGTTTAATTCCTGGTCAAGTCGCAAGTCCCAGTTGTGGGCCCGGTCCCCAGTGGGGGGCATGCAGGAAGCAGCCAATCAATGTTCTCTCTCATCGATGTTTCTATCTCTCTCTCCCTCTCCCTTCCTCTAAAAAAAAATAAAGAAAAAATAAATAAACAAATATAATTTTGCCCTGGCCGGTTTGGCTCAGCGGTTAGAGCGTCGGCCTACGGTCTGGAGAGACCCGGGTTCGGTTCCCGCTAAGGACACGTACCTTGGTTGCAGTTTGTCCCCAGCCCTGGTTGGGTCGTGTGGGTGGCAACCACTCGATGTGTCGCTTTCACGTCGATGTTTCTCTCTCTCTCTCTCTCTCTCACTCTCATTCTATCTGAACAAAATATCGAAAAATGTCCTCGGGTGAGGATTAAAAAAAAAAAAAAATCTCTATTAAATGTAAAAATATCACTGGTTATTTTCTGACCTTATTGTTAGGGTTATTTTTCTATCTAGCCATCTCTCTTGCTAGACTGTAATCTCCTAGATGCCAGGGCCCATGTCCTATTAATCGTGTATTCTCATTTCCAGCACAAGACCTAGCATGTCTAACATGTGCTCAATAAATACTGCTAACCTTAAATTGAATACCTTATATTTAATTTGTTTATATGAGGCAATCTGTTTGACAGGGACTTGAAATTATTGGATGAGACGGTGGAGTCAGGAGGCGTGCAGAGATACCGGGAAGAGCAGGGCCAGTGGCCCCCGCTTCCCACGGGCCTGTCTCACTGCATGTCCTTTCTTTCCACAGCGCTGCGGAGACACATCCTCACACATTTATTTAGTGAGTGAATCTCTACCATCTGCAATAAATGTATGGGGCAGTGGTTCTCAAACTTTTTGGTCTTAAAAATTATTGAGGACCCCAACGAGTTTTTGTTTTTAACTTATTAGAAACAAAAACTGAGAAAAAAATTAAGATATATTTATTAATGGATTAAAAATAAAAAACCCATTACAGGTTAACATAAATAACATTTATAAAAATCACCAATTTTTCAAAACCAAGTTAGTGAGAAGAGGAGCATTGTTAATGGTTTTACATATTTCTATATTGCCTAGTAGAGGACAATTGGATTCTCATATTTGCTTCTGTATCCAGTCTATCGTGATACAGTGCTTTGGTTTGATGCGTAGGAAGAACATTCAGCTTCACACAGGTAGGTAGCTGAAAAAGAGAGGAGCATTTTAATAGCCTTTTCAGATCACCATAGAGATTCTTGTTTGATGCAACACCAACACAGGACATGTGGTAGTTGCTTAAAGGTAATTGCCATGTGGAATTTGAAACCATATCAATGAACTTTTCATACTCTATTACATTAAAATCCATAAGTCTATCTAGGTATAGGTGGATATTTTTAAAAATCTCATTGGGGATATTTTTTCCTTTTTTTTTTTTTCAAAGAGAGTAGAAGGGAGGTTGGGAGGGGGGAGAGAGAGAGAGTAAACATCAATAGGAGAGAGACACATCGATTGGTTGCCTCCGGCATGTGCCCTGATCCAGGGCCAGGGATTGAACCTGCAACCCAGGTACGTGCCCTTGACTGGGAATCAAACTGGCGACCCTTTGGTGTGCAGGCCAACATTCTAACCATTGAGCAACACCAGACAGAGCCAGGTGGATTTTTTTTACCCATGCATGATTTATAACAGCATACACTGGTCACTTAGAAAATAATAGTTCAATGAGTTATGCAGAACTTCCAAATGTTGACATGTTTTATTACGTAATATGAACAGATCCCATTCATGAGTATTACCATTGATTCATCCAAAAAAACCGTTAAGTGTTAGGAAGCTGTTAGGCTCAAGAGGTGGATACAAGTCATTCTTTCAAGTAAAAATGATGTTCCATGAAAAAATTAGCCGGTTCACTCATAATTCCAACAATTGCACAAACGCCTTTAAAAAAATTTTTTTTTCCTTTATTGATTTTAGAGAGGAAGTGAGAGGGAGAACGAGATAGAAACATCGATGAGCAAGAACATCAATTGGCCCCCTCCTGCGTGTCCCCACCCCGCACTGGGGATCGGGCCCAGAACCTGGGCATGTGCCCTGACCAGGAATCGAACCAGCGACCTCTTGTTGCATGGGTCGATGCTCAACCACTGAGCCATACCAGCTGGACACTTTTTTTTTTTTTTTGAGACAACCATTGTGTTCAGTGTGCAGTGGAAGTGCTTTACGTCTACTCTCATTCTGTCACACGGGATACTAAAAGACATATAGCATGGGTCAAGATTTCATAAAATTAAAAATTGTTTACTGATTCGTCACAGACTTTCTTAAGTAAAACTGCTATTTTGTAAAAATAAATTATTTTGTAAAATAATTTATAACATTTGAAGAACTTACAAAGGTTTGTAAAATCATTTGCCAGTACAGCTTGGTTCCCTGCTTGGATGTGTACTAAGGTGCCAACAGTTTCGCCTACCATTGCTTTTGCAACACTAGAGCAAATGCCAGCACAGTGAAAAGGGCAAATAACACCCTTGTATTAAGCATGTTGTTTTGATCTTACGCTTCCTGAAAGGACCTTGAGGATCCTCAGGGGTCCATGGACCACACTCTGATAATTGTTGTTATAGGTGAATCAAAAGGATGTTCTTGAGATTTCAGGAGAGGCCATTAAAGTGTAGAAAGGCCCCCAGAATGGCAGAGAGGGCTTGGATATAGCTGTCACCTGTTTCACATATATATTTTTTCTGCTGCAGAGCCTGGAACCCCAGCTGCTTTACCTGGGACCCTGATCCTAGGTGAAGCTCTTACAGTCCCCACCTTCTAGGCTGGACACTGCTCCTTGAGCCTTACCTGCTGGCTAGGGCCTCACTGAACCTCACCTGCTGGTTGGGAATTATGCAAGGACTTGTGAGTTTACCGCAAGTGGTCTGCTGTGTAGCATGTCCTGCATCTGTAGCTCAGCGCATCACAAAGGATCCCTGATGCTGATGCAAGACTGGATCAGACAGGAAATTGCTACTATAAACAGAGTTCCCTATGGAATCAAATTCTACTATTAGTTTGGTTTCTGCAGGAGCAGGCACTGAACAGGTCTAATGCTCGGGCCTGCCGAAAAATGCTTCTGGTAGAGTCCAGGCTCATATCCACTCAGGAAAAATGAACTGTTTTGCATTGGTTCATGGTGAGCAGGCTAGCAGGTATTCAGAGGATCCTCTACAGTCAGGAAGAAGAGGAGACCTGAGAAACTGTACTGTACACAAGCCTGTAAGTTACAGAGTGTGTGTGTGTGTGTGTGTGTGTGTGAGCAAGCTGCACGACTAACTCCATGAATGTCCATATCCTTTATCATTAAAATAAGCTTTATACTTTCAAACTGTGTTGTCAATTTTTTGGTCAGTGACATCACTGTTTTGTGTGTCAACCAGATAGTTTTTTTTTTAATCCTCACCCGAGGATATTTTTCCATTGACTTTTTTCAGATAGAGTGGGAGGGAGGGAGAGAGGGGGAGGGAGGGGGAGAGAGAGACAGAGAGAGAGAGAGAGAGAGAAACATGGATGTGAGAGACATGACTGATTGCCTCCCACAAGACCCTGACTGGGGCTGGGGATCAAACCTGCAACTGTGGTATGTACCCTTGACTGGGAATTGAACCTGTGACTCTCTGGTCCGAGGGCCAGCACTCTAATCACTGAGCCAAGCCAGCCAGGGCTCAACCACATAGTTTTAAAAACCTGGTCTCATTCCTCCTCTCTCCTGGTCGGTCCCCACTGAATTCTCAGGTTGCTGAGGCTGTGAGGACTGCTGAGGGCTAGCACCTAGGCTCACCCCTAAAGGCCACCCTCATTATGGAGCAGGATCACAGGTCCACATTCATGATAGCACAGCATCAAACCACTATTTCCCTACTGCTCCTGGGAGATGTGTTCCGAGTCCTCAGTTGGGGGCATCGGGAACACAGGACCCCTGTACTGATGGGGTTGAGCCATCAGTTACCCTCTCCTCAGACATCTGCCTCAAAGCCCCAGAGCAGAAGTCCTGGAAGCCTGGAGCAGAAGAGTGCTTCCGTATTAGCTTAGAAGTCACTTTTCTCGGAAGCCTTCCATAGCATTCCTTACTTCCCTGCTGACAGCTCTTGTCACTCAGTATTACAACTGCTTAATTGTGTTTATTCCCCGTTAAACTCTGAGCCCTATGAAGGCAGAGACTATGTGTATCTCATTCATCACTGACTCCCCAGTACATAACATAGTGCATGGTATCTAGCAGGCACTCAACTGGTGTTTGTTGAATGAGTAAATGAAGGTCAAGAATACCCGATCAGGAGTCCTGTGTGGCGGCTGGAGTCCCAACACCCTAGCTGCCTGTAGAGGCTGGCTTCTACTGTAGAGGTGGCTGTTGGGTGGGTGGGTTCCCTAGCAGCTACTCACAGCTCTCTAAGGGCTTCTGCAAAATGAAACTCCAACAGGAGCGGCGCATACATATATTCAAGAAGCTCTAGAGAGGGTCCAAAGTCCAGCATTGTGGTCCCTGGAAATTCCCCATACACATTATTGCCCAGAGTCCAGGAGACACACAAGGAATTGCATTTTTCAGTTTCTATAGAAAAGTACTAAGGTTTCCCTCTTGCCTTAATTCAGCACTGATTGGCTTAGCCACAGAGGCTACTCCCTTTAGGATGTTGTGTCCAAGGTCCAAAGATAAAACAGAGATTGTGACTTCAGCAACCTTATCACTCAGCCAGGTCTGCTAGTGGACAACAAATCTAAATATCTCAGGGAGAGATAAGCAACTGTCTTCTAACAGTTCAATGGTAGGAACAAGAGAATAATTCTGCATATTAAGTGGAATAAAAGAGACCCTGGGCATGTTGGTAAATTGTACTTCTTAATAGTTTATTTTCAAAATGTCAATGTTTCTGTTTTGCTTATTTATAAAACCAAACACAGTAGTAGATGCTTATAAAAATTCAAACAGTAGATAAGTACAAATAAAAATGGCTGTTCATACCTTCCCCTATTAATAAGTACCACTTCCACTTCCTCCTTCAAAAGTGAGCAGTTTAGTGTGTTTTCTCAAGACCTTTCCTAGGCCCCAGCCCACTCTGTACATCTGACTGCTTATGACGATGTTACCTAAGAGGAAATACAGTGACGATTATTTTTTTCCTACGGCTACTGTGCATCTTCCACCTCCAAATTTGGCTTAATTGTAACATAAAAATTTTGAGCTATAAAAAATATGGGCTGGTTTTGTAACAGTGTCGTGAAGTCCTGTTAACAATATAAAAGGAACATGTTCCCCATGTAGATTCCAGGCAGAGTACCAGCAATTCTCAACATGTGAACATCCAGCTTATGGAGGGTGGTGATAAACTACCAGATTTTGACATTTTCAGGACACTTCCTTGGTGATAGAACACTCATCACCCTGCTCCCCACAACTACTGCCTCCCTGCCCCTAGAGGCTGCACCATTGTTAGCTGAAATTCACTGATACAGGCTTTTAGTATACTTTTCTGGGTCCAAAGGTACTGTTCACTCACAATCTAATGACCATCTTGCACGCCAAGTATGAAGTATGATAGTGACTGGAGCCAGAGAGATGTTCCCTTGGTTAAGGTAGACAGTGCCTTATCTCTCTGCATGGGTCCCTAATGGAGTTAAAAGATGCCGAAGGAAAGGCCAGTACCTTGTTTCTCAGGGCTGGGTCTGCCCCGGCTTCCAACAGCAGCGCAACTGTCCTAATGTTCCCGCTGAGCACCGCCGCATGGAGTGCCGAGGTCCCGTTCTAAGAGAAAATGACAGTGTGTGTCAGGAGTGAGCTCACAGCCAGCAGCACTCAGCTTGGCTGTCATCATCAACCAGCCTGAGTGATGACTGTCACGCGGGAGCCCTCCTCTTCCTTATGTCCCCTTAACAAAGTCACATCGGCATCTGATATGGTGGCCTCAGGTACATAGTAGTTGGACAGTGTAAATATTGCCAATGTTCTTTTGCAAGTGAAACAAGAAATCTGACCCTGGGTGCACATGACCTCGTGATCACTGGTCAGTTTTATATACATTAGAACTTGCGATGAAAAAACAACAATACTGTGTCAAACATGTTTTCCCAACATATGTAGTCTTTCTGCTTTTGGTGAGCCATTTCCAGCAGGGCTGGAGGAGTGGCTGGCTAGCCAGCGGGCTGGCCTGTCAGCACAGCGACACACACTCTGCTCACTCAGGGGAGCAGGAGTTACAGGGTGTAAGAGTATGTGGGGTGAGGAAATCTCCCCGAGCCCTGATTTGAAGCATTTCTGAGCAAAGAGGGCCTAGTGGAAAGGTTGCTGATATGTCATGAAATTCACTACAAATATGTATTGAAATAAGAGAGTGGCTTTGTGTAGCCATGCAGCCGGATTCTGGAAGGGGAGAGGAGAGAATATCACACCTCATATAAGAATGACAGTCATAGGACATCTGTTCCAGAAGGTACATTTATCTGTGAGTAGTACCTACGTGCAAGCTTAGTTTCCAAATTGACTACCTATAATAAGAAATAGTTTCTTATTTTGTAAAAGAGCAAAATATCATGCCCAGAGAAATGTTCCAGCAAAGCAGCATTTTCCCATATTTGCTTTTATTATCTGTATGGTACGTAACTAATGTGGTAATTTTTCACTTTTGTAAATCGTAAGCAACCTATCAGCTTCACCTATGTGCAACATGGCCAAAAAGAAAAATCCAAGCCACACAAGAGCTGTCTGAAATGAGACTTTGCAAAGATATTGCAAAGTTCATTTCTGAAGCTCATTTCTTGTATTCACAGAGAGGTCACTTTCCCAGACTATTCTCACTATTGTTAACAAGTGCAGCTTTCTGGCTTCCAAGCTTGTGGAAGATTAGAAGTCGCTCACTGGGACGGGGGAGGGGCCAGCACACTGACAGCAGCTCTGTATCAGCTGACAGCAAGAATGGAGCCTAAGGATACAAAGATCAGAATCAGCGCCCAAAATACCTTTGGGATCACACAGGGCGAGTAGACTTTATACACATCAATAAACCCTGAGGTTCAGAAAGTGCTAGGCCACTGTCCCAAGTTTGGAACGGGTTTGGTACCCTCTATTTAAGAAAACAGGAGAGTGTGTATCAGGGGTCAGCAAACCATGGCCCATGGGCCAAATCTAACCTGTAGTTCTGTTTTTCTATGTCCTGGCAAGCTCAGATTTAAAAGAAAATTAAAAGAAAAAAAAAATTTTGTAACGTGTCAAATTTCAGAACTACGATGTCCATAAATAAAGTTTTATCAGAATGCAGCCATACTGCTTTTTTAAAATTTATTTTTATTTACTATGCCTGATTTTGTGCTACAGAGCAGAGTTAAGCAGTTGCAACAAAGGTTATATGGCAGGGAAAGCCTGAAATATTTACTATCTGATCCTTTATTGAAAAAGATTGCCAACTCTGGTATACACTATACTTTAGAAATATTTTCATCCCAAATGATTAAAACATAAAAAAATTTTGGGGTTCTGTTTCCTGGAACGCCCAGCTCCCCAGAATGACACATTCTCTGGGGTGTCCAGAAGTTGGAGGCTTCTTTTATTTCACCCAAGGTAACTGTGGTTCTTTGCTCCAGATACTGAAGAAAAGGAACTGTTAGCTCTTAACTTCCATATTACTGCCCTAAACCTCTCATTCCAAGAAACCAAAACCCATCACCCTTATCATTTAACCTTTCCCTAAGCCTCTCATTCCAGAAAACCAAAACCCATCACTCCAGTCAGGAGGAAGGGAAGGATGGAACCACCCTAACCCACCCAAAACTCCAAATGGTCGCTCCACAAGAAAAACAAGTTTCAGGAGATCCCAGCCCCTGACCAATCAAGAACTTGGGAGACCCCGGGCCGACCAATCAAAGAGGACCACGCCTCCTCTGCTGAACGACTACCCCCTCCCCCCCCCCAGCCCTGAGTTTAAAAATCCCTGTACAACAGTCTGTACAAGCCGGTTGCTACTCTCTCCTTAGAGGTAGTCTGGCAGGTTGACTTTCAATAAACCTGCACTGCTGGAGACCCTGCACCGCCTCATTCCACCTCGTTCTTACAGGAACATGAACATCTGTCCCCCATGTTTTGTGGGACAAAAATCATGTGTTTTAAGATTTGTGGGGGATTTCACAAATTCTCCAATCACATACCTATATGGTTGACTTTCCAATTTAGCGATTTCATTACTACTATCCAATATTTTTTTCTGGAAAACTAGGTACTGACATATTCTGGTTCATTCTTTTTACCACATTCTCATCTCTACCAGTGTCCATGAGTCTCCAACATTAAGAAGTTGTAGGTATGTTCTTTCAAGAACACAACTAACCATGTGAATTATACCCAGATTCTACTATAATCTCCAAGTATAGATTTCTTCATTTCTAACCTCTTTTTTTTACAGATCGGCAAAATTTCTCTTTAGCTCTTACCTTCAAAATACCAAGGGTGGGTGAGAATTTCAGCAATTCCTCTATAACATTATTATACCCTTTGTTGGCTGCTTTCAGTAATGCTGTTGTACCATCCTTCAAACACAGAGGAAAACAAAAGTTGATCATTAACATATGCGTATGTTGGCTGGGAACTAAATGTGAGTTGAGAACTAGTAATATGTATAGACCTGCAATGTCTCCTAATCTAGGAGCATTTTAAAGCATATTAAGCAATCACTTCTGCTAAAAAGAATACCAGACAAAATAGGTGACTTCTTATATTATCTTTGAACCCTGCTATTTGGGGATTCACACGCTTTCAGTCTCTTAGAACACTGGGTTGGGGACAAGGGGAATTCCAAGAGCACATTTTAGGACATACTGGACGAAAGAGGCATTCTCTGTATGTAGTTCATGACTTAGCAGAAATTAATTTGTTGAACTGCCTGCAATGACTTAAATAATTCTGAACTGTATTGACTGTTCTAAAATGTTAATGTGCTTTTTAGTTTGCCTTTTCTTATCTGTAACCTTGCTCTAATGTGCCCCAGGCATCTATTGGACTGTGGGGGAGGGTGGGGGAGAGGGCAGATGAGGAAAGGAGTGTTTGAAATCAGTTTAAAAATGGTGCAAAGACAAGCTGAAAAATTAACATTCCCTTCTGTCATTTTTTGGCCTGGGAAGAGATTTTTCCAAATTCTTTTTTCTCCTGCTTTAACATGTCAATTGCTGTATTTGGAGGATTTAGCTCACTACACGTTCTCAGGTAGTAAAGACCAGACCCCACCCAGCCAGCACCAAATGCTTAGCTGGAATCAGGAAGAAAGATGAGAAAAGAGGGTTTTCTTTTCTGGCTTCAGAGTCTGCCGGAAGAGAGGGGGGGAGAGGGTAGACGAAGTGGTCAGGAACGCACCTTCTGACATCCTCTCTTTGGGCCCCGACTTGGAAAGGGGAGGTGGGTCACATAAGCAGGAGTAATACCAAGGGCAAAAAGGACAGACACTTAAAAAAAAAAAAAAGGGAATGGCAAGTCGCCCTTAGTTCCTATGGGCGCAGGCACTGGGGGACTTAGATGACACCAGCAGAGGCCATGTAGGGGTCGATGGGGGATGTGGAGCAGGGGTCTGCAGCTGGGGAGACAGGCGAGGCGGGGTCAGCCTGGAACTGCAGGACCCCAAACCATAGGCACCCACCTCCACGCTGGGCCAGCCACACTGCCGCGCAGTGCCATCTGGACAAGCAGCCCCCAGGGACATACCTCCAGGGACAGCCCCAGGCCCATCCTACAGTTCACCCAGAAGTCTGCTCAGGTGGAGGAGCATCACCGAGGAATTAAGTTTTTCCGTCGGAGAGACTAAGTTTCAGCGGTTTCACACTTTTTGTTTCCCCCGCTGAAGAGCAGGTGGAGGTTGGGGGAATCCCAGCAGCCCTACAGACCAAATACAGCTGCACTGTCTCTGCGGGGTGAGGCCAGGTCCCCGCACGAACTTCCCTCCGGAGCCCCCACGTGTCCAACTCACGTCGCGGGCGGCGTCGCGCTCGGCTCCGCGCAGCAGCATCACCCTCACCACCTCGCTGTGGCCCATCTGAGACGCGATCCACAGCGGCGCCGTCCCGTCCTGCGGCGAGAGGACACGCTCGGACTCCGCACACGCACAGCATCCGCCGCTGCAGGTCAACACGGGGAGAGCCAGCTCCCCGCCGACAAACGCAGAGGCTGATGTCAACCCAGGGACACGGGCTGGCGGTGGCAGTGCTCGGGCTACCCGAGCAATTGCCCACGCTCGATTTCGGCTCACGAAACAGCCGTTGCATGGCAGGAACTAAAACCACAGTGTGGCAGAACCCAGTCTGCTAAAGCTGGGTAGGAGAAGTCAGCCTGTTTCCCCTGAGACTGTCGCTTGCTGTCCTGGGGGTTCACACAACACCCCCTCAGCGCCCAGCGGCGCCCTTCAGTCCCACAGCAGGGCAGTTCCTCTGAGGTGGGCGCGCTCTGAGGGTCAGAGAACCAAAGACACCTCTCCCACTCCTGTTCTATGGCCAGCATTCACCACAGCCACATCGTTTTCCGAGCCTTGCATTTTATGCAGGGGTGATACTGCGTCTTCTGGGAGGTGCTTCACACTAGCTAGTTACAGCAGGACGACACCTGGGGCAATGCTTCCGGCGTGTTATTCCCCAAGACCCCTTTCCCCTGGACACCGGGCCAGGAGGCCGAGACGTCCTGCTTGGGAGGAGGGCAAAGCATCCAAGGACAGAAAGACTGGGCAGTGGGTGGTTCCCGCTGGACAGAAAGGAAGACGGAAACCCTGCTCATGCGGGCAGGAGTGCTACAGAGGGAGGGGGGGAGGCAGAGGTCGGTGAGGGTCCATGTTTCCCTCCCCGCTCTGGGGTGAATTGGGTTGGCTAAGCTAGGGGTGATCAAAACACCCAGATAAATTATGGTGAATTCCAGATAGGGAAGGATGTTTTCCTGTTTTGGGGATGGAATCCAGGAAAACTGCAAGTGCCTTACAGAAGCTCTGAATTTTGGCTGGTACCTGAGAGAGAGAAATGACAGTGGGAGGTGTCTGGGCCCCAGTACCCCAGTCCACATCCACGAGGCAGCTGGCCACCTAGGAGTCCTCGTGTGTGTGTGTGTGGGGGGGGGGGAAGGTGAGGCAAACAGTGGCCCGGAGTAAGCCTTCAGGTGGGAATATAAGGCCACAGAATGTCATGATTTCACCAACAGAGATGATGGCAGGGCCAGTATATGGTGGAATCAGGGTACCAGTGCAGGATGCTCAGGGAACAGAGAGGCTGGACAAACCAGCACGCGGAGGAGACACGAGCACCCCCACCTCCACCCCCACCTCAATGCCAGGTGATAGTCTGACCTCTGAGAACTTAGGTCACTTTGGAGAGAAGGCAAGAGGAGGGAGGAGTGTCCAGGACAGGATTATTGCCCAGTGCTGTCCCGGCAAAGGGACAGAGGGCAGAGCTCTCTGAGCGAGGTGGTGGATAATGGCAAATCAGGGTCCTAAAGGGATCCGAGGGTGCTGGGGACACAGTAGGCACCTCTGTGTCTTGGGAGAGATATGGGAAAGAGGAGCTGAAACAAGGCATGGAAGAAGTCCGAAAACACTTCATCCTTTCAAGGGTCTCGGAGAAATAGCCTTCAATCTGAAGATTATTTATCATTAGCAACATAAATACAACCTTGATTTGTACTTTTGGTTTACAAAACAAATTCATTATTTCATTTGATTCTCCCAATTCAGGAGAATCATTCATTCATTCAACCACCCAGTAATTATTAAGCATCTTCTTAGTCTTAGGCAGAGCACTAAAAATAAGACATGATCCCTATTATCAAAGGAACTAAGTCTAGTGGAAATTTCAGTATGATTGCAGTGCTACAATCAAGCATGGACAAAAATGCCCCAGATGAATCAGGAAAGAGGCCCTCTTACTGCATGGGGGTTACAGGTCAGTTTCACAGATGGGGTGTTGGGATCTGAGCTGGGTCTTGAAGGAGGACCAGAATTTTGCCAGTGAGAAGAGGGGAATTCCATGTAGAGGAAAGAACATTTACAGTCACAGTGGCTTTGACAGGAGTGACTGGTTCAGGCAGGGTGGGAATGCAGCTGGCATGGCCCAGGGGATATGGGTGGGGCCCCAGGAAGGCAGGAGAGGGTGTCTGGCCTCCACAAAGGTTTTCCAGGGCTCAGGTGCTGATGCACTTCTCCCACCTTATCTGCTTCGGGTTCATTTGTTCATATTGCCACCAGAGGGCAGCCAAGGCTGTTTGATGCTTTCTAAGGGCTTGTTTTTGGTCAAATTCTATTGACACTAATATGTAGAAAAGGGCTGAGAAGTGCTATATTGGGAATAGCAGTCATGCTGACACTTAATTTAACACTTAATTATCACCTTGACTGCAATAGTCATGGTAGGTGGGAAAAGTAATCATTTCCTGGTTGAGACTGTAGGCAAATTATGTCTCAGGGTCCCCTTCTACAAAAATATTAGCCTTACAGTGATATTAGTGAATGAGAAAATATATAGAAAGGTGCTGAGCACGAGTACGGACTAACAGATGGTTAGAGAATGGTAACTGAATCTGAATAATATTTATCATGAAAAACAGGAAGTATCTTGATTTGTACTTTTGCTTACAAAGCACTGCCATATGCTTTACTTAAGTCAAATCTCCCAGTTTCCCCCTGAGCTAACTGATCAGCAGGTAGAAACGATGGATAAAATGAGATTTGAGATTTGGGGGACACTGTGTATTTCTTCCTTTTTTTTTTTTTTTTTTTTTTTTATCCTCACCCAAGAACATTTTTTCCATTTTTTGTTCAGATAGAATGGGAGAGAAAGAGAGAGAGAAACATCAATGTGAAAGGGACACATGGAGTGGCTGCTTCCTGCATGACCCAACCAGGGCCGGGAACAAACTGCAACCGAGGTACGTGCCCTTGGCAGGAACCAAACCCGGGTCTCTCTGGACCGCAGGCAGATGCTCTAACCGCTGAGCCAAACCGGCCAGGGTGACACTGTGTATATTTTTCATTACTAGTGGTTACTTCATAATGAAAATGGTGGAAATTAGGTCAGTTTAGCTCCTTTTTGTAGAGTTTTGGAGAAAATTGGAGTAGAAAAAGCATAAAAAATATTTATATAAGTTTTTAATACTTCTTGACAAAAATACATAGTTTTAAAGTCTATTAAATTGAATAAGTCACCATGGAGTGGAAGTTATAACTTCTACAGCATTTAAAGGAAATAGAACATTTAGCTTGAAGAAGATAAGACTCATGGGGTTATGACAGCTGTCATTTACTATCTGTGTGCAAACCAACTGAAAAAAGATTTAGACTTATTTGGCATACCAAGTAAAAAGACTGATGGGTGAAAACTACAGGGCGACTTTGGCTCAATGCAAGAAAAAAAATGATAATGAGGGCTGGTCAAAGAATAAATAAATGGCTCTTATATCTGACATGTAAAAGCCTCTAAGGGTGTTCCTAACATCCTACTTCTGCTTTCTTTAGGAAATGTTGGACTCTACATGCAACTTGAAAGAAAACAAGTCTGGGTCAAATGCTGAACTTAAACTAACATTGTTTATCATTGAAAAATATTTTAATAATGTCTTTTCTGTGAAAAATGCTAGTGTTGTATAGAAAGAAAATTACATCTTTCATCCTTAAAAAAAGTAGCTTTGACTTATATCAGCTCAAAATGAATTTTTAGATTGACTATAGATTTCAATGGTCTCTGTGACTCTTCTTTACCTAGGACAACTCAGAAGAAAAATGTTTTCAAGTTTTAAATCAAGAACTTAGTCTTTCCAAAACATGCCTATGGGTAGCTTTGTAATTATGATTCCTTCTCACAAAAGTATTAAAAGTGTTTCCAGTTAGTTTGTCAGGAATACAGTTACAAGGAAAAGTCATTCTTACTACCTTTCAGATCCCCTGCAGCTCAGAGGAAATGTCAGCGGAACACTCTCAGTGCAACTTTGTAACATCCTGTCACAATGAGCCATAGAATGTCAGGATTCCACAGGATGGCAATGCAAAAAATTATACACCGGATTTATCTAAAGATATAAAGAAATTAAACCAGGCAAATATTTTGTACATTCAAGAATTTTCTGACAATGTGTCAGCTGAGATTTCAGAATAAAGCATTGGTTTCCAAATGTTCTTCCGATATAATTTTCTACCATGTGCAGGACATTTTTTTTTTTTATCCTCACTCGAGGACATTTTTGCATTTATCTTCAGGTAGAGCGGGAAGGAAAAAAGAAGGAAGAGAGAGAGAGAAACATCAATGTGAGAGAGACACATGAGCCCAACCAGGACCGGGGACAAACTGCAACTGAGGTACATGCCCTTAGTGGGAACCGAACCCGGGACTCTGGTCTGTGGGCCGATGCTCTAACCGCTGAGCCAAACCAGCCAGGGCTAATGGGAATTTTTCAATTTTTAATGAAAAAAATTTTTTCCCTTTATTGATTTTAGAGAGAAAGGAAGAGGGAGAAATAGAAACATGGATGAGAGAGAACATCAATTGGCCGCTTCCTGCATGCCCCCACTGGAGATCTGGCCCACAACCTGGACAGATGTCCTGACCGGGAATCAAACTGGTGACCTTTTGGTGCATGGGTCAATGCTCAACCACTGAGCCACACCAGATGGACATTAATGGGAATTTTTAATCAGAACTTTTTTTAACCTCCTAACTTGTAACAAAGTCAGCCAGGACTGATATCACTTTTGCCATATTTATGACACTACTTGTTTTTTTGGAATGGAATTAAATATGCAGAGTTTACCCTTTGAGAGAAGACAGAACTTGGACTAGTCTGACCTAGCCAGCTAACCTTTTATTTATAAGCTCATGACAGGCAGCAAAAAGTATGGTTTTTATAGGTACAGTGGTTACCTCTGGGGTACAGAAGGTATAGTAGGGTTCGTATACTCCATGAAAAGGAAAAATCTATTGCTTCTCTCCCACCACAAATAAATCTTATGTTATATAACACCCTGTTCCTGAATAACAATCTTTTCAGAGCTGGACTCTCTCAATTCCAAACAATCTCATCGGAAACAATCTTTGGAAGGGCATGTCACATGCTCCTTGACCCGAGGGCAGAGCCCTCCCACTCCCAGACTAGTCCACTTTGACCAGGTTGTTCTTGCTTCTGAGGAATGAACACTGTGGTGCACTGTGACTACCACTGCAATGTTGGTTCACTCATAACTTCTGGGTTTCAGTGTCATCATCACATGACTCAATGTAGGTTTAAATGGACACAATCCATGCAAATACCTGAAATATAATCTTATATCAACTTGGCTTCTGTAAAAACAAAACAAACAACACACAAAAAAAAACAGCCCCTTAGGCATATAAATAATACTTCTTTTATAAATAGATTTGTCAAAATGTCAGAAATTATTTTAGGATGTACAGAGAGAGACTTGATAATCTCTCATTTATAAATTCACAGTGTTACCCTCAGTAATTACCTCCAAATCAAACCTATTCAATCAAAAAATAGCCAATTCTTTTTATTTAGTAAAATGAGGCCTCTAAGTCAGAATCAATCAACAATTTCAAAATAAGAAGGACCGACAAGAATATTAAATTCCAATCCCCAAAATATCAATTCTGGCAGGAACGGAAGTGCAACTTTTCCTAAAAGTTTCCTTCCCCAGAAATATTCCTGAGGCCATCTAAACTAAGAATATCTTTAAAATTCTAAAAATATAATCTTGCATTCATAGCAGTGTCTGGCACATCTTACGTTCTCAAGAAATACTGATTAAAACAATTATCAAAAATTTGGGAGCTTGTGTTCTGGCTGATGCAGCTCAGTTGGTTGGAGTGTTGTCCTGTACATCAAAAGGTCGGGTTGGATTCCCAGTCAGGGCACATACCCCAGTTGGGGTGTGTATGAGAGGCAATCTATCGATGCTTTTCTCTCCCTCCTCTCTCTCTTTTTCTTTCTCTCTCTCCCCTCTCCTTCCCTCTCTCTCAAATCAATAAAAATAAAATAAATAAAATTTTTTTAAAGCGGGGAGCTTGAAGAGATCATCAGGATCATCCTGCCCAGCCTCCTAAATTTCAGATGAGGATGAAAGGTCCAGAGAGGTCGATTCACTTGTTCAAAACCACACAGCTAGTTATTGGCAGAGCTGGATCTAGAACTCAGGATTCCTGACCTCAAACCCACTTTGCCCAAAGGCTCTTTCTTTTCTTAGTTTCCTTATGCACTCAGACTTCTTAAGACTGAAGAATCCTGTGGTCAAGAACTTGGATCAACCTTAAGATTCCCATAGGAACCTTACATGAACATACAGGCATTGTCAAAGAGGTCACATTCCAGTAGGGATCTGCCTGGGTGTCATTTACTGGTAAGAAATCAGCTTGACTTTTCCCTAGAAAACTACCTTTAAAGTAAAGTTACCTTAACCTGAAATGTTTCGTTAAAAACAAATTAATTAGTGAGGAAATAGTTCCTATTATAGGAAGCTAATTATAATGCCTTACATTTGGATGGGTCTTCCCCATTTCTAAAGCGAGGCCTGCATGATCTTGTAGTTCTGTTCCTTCTAGTATCAATTAGTTGATTTACCAGATGTCAGCTTGCTGTTGGTAAATGAAGTCTCAGTCACACTGAACTGTGAGATGAAGGTGTGGAACCTGCTGATGACTGCAGGGGGCTGTTCTTTGGTTTGGTAGAAGAAAGGGGGTGGGGGGGGGAAGAGATAAGGCAGCATATCAGTGGAGGGACAGGGCAGGGGCAAGGCTACCTGGCGCGCCTCTATTTACCTATGTTCCAGGCTAGCCCACTCTCATTACCTCAGCACAGCCATAATTTATTTGAACAGGAGGTGGCAGAGTGTGTACTTGACCTCAGACACCAAACACCCATGTTTTAAAAATAGCAAATGGTGATGTCAGCCTGATTTCAGGTGAGCCCAAAGCAAAGAACAGGAGAAACCCTAATCAAAGATTAACTTGTGTCACAGAAGCCAAAGGATTTAAAGCCGCCCAGAGCTGACTGGTGTCTGAGGAAATGCGGCTGCAGGAGAGCTGGCCCTCCCTGCCCACTGCCCCTACAGGACATTACCTGCCTCGGCTGGTTGACCTTTGCTCCCGAAGACAACAGTAACCGAGTAACATCCAAGTAACCACCTTGGGCAGCTAGGAAGAGTGCAGTGGCCCCATCCTGAGAGAGAGCAAATTGAATGTGTTAAAAAAAAAAATCATCTTTCATATTTATGTTAAAAAAATTACCTTTTAAAATACATACAATTTAATACAATTTTCCATTTCCATCTCCCCCCTTTTTTTTCACATTCATAGTTAATGTTTTATTCTTTGAAGAATGATTCTTAAAGATCTCACTGAGTCAGCTGAAAGGTAAAATAGACAATTTTATAAGGATAAGTTAAAATGTATATAATGACTTTCACAAAATCTTGATCCTAGAGCTTATGCTAAGTAGGTAGTAGCATCTAGGTTTTCCAAATATCCAGTCACCATTATTTTCTTGTCTGCATACACTTTCATTGGCTGCGTTTTGCTTTTGTTGCGTGATCCGAGTCCATCTACTTTTTAATTAGATTTAAAAAGACACATTTAATACAATTTTCCATTTTAAGCCTTCTGTCAATTAAGAGCAAAGTCTTAGTTTAAAAACAAAGAAAAAGGCCCTGGCTGGTTTGATTCAGCGGTTAGAGCATCAGCCCACGGACCAAAGAGTCATGGGTTCGATTCCGGTCAAGGGCATGTATCTTGGTTGCGGTTTATCCCCAGCCCTGGTCAGGGTTCGTGTGGGAGGCTACCAATCAATGCTTCCCTCTCAGATCGATGTTTCTCTCTCTCCCCCTTCCTTCCACTCTATCTTGAGATAAACAGAAAAATATCCTTGAGTGAAGATTAAAATAAATACAAATAAATAAATAAATAAAAACAAAAAGTACTCTATTAATAAAAAGCAAAAAACAAATCAATTTTCCAAATCTATTTGGTGTGCTTTTCTAAATCCGGAGTAAACAGATCTCTCCTACTCTTATCTCATTCCGGCCCTCTTACCCATGTCTCCTCGACAGCCAGTCTCTCCAAGCCTTAAAGCTTAAGACACTTTCAGAATAACTGCCCTAGTAACAACATCCATGATCTTGCTCCACAACAGCCCAGCAGACGCCCATAACACCTACATACGCCACTAAGCAATCCTGCATAAAAGCCCAAAGCAAGTGCTTGTTTCCAATACTCCTTAATTTTCTTTTTAACTGGATGTCTACGTCTTCTGGTCATTTCTTTTTCCTTCAAGATGTGTCATCGGGCGATTTCGACAATACGTGGGTCAGCTGAGGGCATGCATCCTCCCCAGCTGCTCACTTCATGCAGACAGAACACGGCGAGCTTCATTACTGTCAGACCACAGTGGAAAACCCTGGTACCTAGCTAGCCCAGCTAATTATTACCCTCCCATCAGGAACACCAACCACAGGTTAAAATACAAAGCACCTTTCCCTGCAAGTCCAACCACGTGGTGGGCGCTAGATTTCCACTGGGCGTCAGCTGAGCTGCCAGACTCCCCTCAAGGCAATCATTAAAAAATTAATTAGCCTGTACAGATTTTTAAGCAGGTGTTTGATATGGGAATGAAGTGTTCAGCTGCTCCCTACTCTGTTGCCACAGAAAGTCATCCAAGCCCTTTGCCGCTCACAACTCTTCGGAAGTTTCTAAAATGGATATTATGCATTGGATTTTTTACCGTGCATTACCAACTTCCTAGAAGTTTTCAGGGATCAATGACAGAGATGTCTCATATTTCAGTTGTTTTTCATGAAAACATTTACACTGGACTGTTTGGGTAAGGGTAAAAGTCTTAACAGAAAATGCAAGTTCTGGTACATGAAATTTCTTGAGTCACCTTATAACAGAGATGAATTTACTGTGGAAGTGGGCTCTCCCCAAACTTAACATTTCTAAGATTATGTGTCACCCTGATGAACCTTATGGAATAATATTATCTAACAATACAAATTCTATACCCACTATCAATTTGGACTGCTGACTGTTAATGCTATGAAAATCACAACTCATTTTCTTTTTCAAAGACTTGGGCTCTCCTAGTCAGCCTTCTCTCTCTCTCTCTCTCTCTCTCTCTCTCTCTCTCTCTCTCTCTCTCTCTCTCTCATCCACTGCACCTATATACAGCCAAAGAAGTAGCTGTAGACCTGTGTTTCCTGGACATGGCCACGTGTCAGAAACACCTGATGCTCAAGCTGTGCCCTCAGACACTCCGGCTCAGGTAGTCTGGGGTGGGCCTGGGACGTGGTATTTTTTAAAACTCTGGAGGTGATTCTAATGGGCATCCGGAGCTGAGAATGACTCCTTTAGATCATTATTCAGTGGTTCAGTCATTCAACTGGGAATGCTTTGGGGCTCGGTGTTCCAGATTTTGAAGTACAAAGGGTAAGGATAGTTGCATATACTTCAAAGAAGTCTGTGATTTGTCAGTTAACCATGTAAACACTGGGAAGGATGTTCAAATGGAAAGGTTCACACCTACACATCTCATTTCATGTCTATGAAAGCATACAGTGCCCTAGGCATGAGGGTGTAGAAGAGCCCAAAATATGGTTCCTAGACCACTGGAAACGGGAATTCTTCCGCTCCACCCTGTGATACTCAAGTCACTTCATCTCCCCATGTTTTATTTTTTCGCAAAAACAAATCACATTTGCCTTAAGTCCTATGAAATTACAATGACAATAAATTAAGAGAGTTCTTGGGTAATGTGCTAATTGGCAATGAGCTGCAAACAGACCCACACTAGCAGTGGATGCTTTCAAAGGTCAATGGTGTGTATTTCCGAGGTCTTCATCCACCCAACCTCACTTCTCTTCCAAATAACCTGATTTTTCCTCTTTCGTGCCCTTCCTCCCAAATAAATCCACAACAGAATTTATTTTGGTTTTCAGCAAGTCCATATGCGGGCTTCTCATGTTACGAATGAGTATGTATCACATGATTTTTGAAGATCCCACTTGCACAGGTACACGAAATATTTTATGTGTAAGAGATTTAAAAGGGCAAAACAAAGATAGATAAATAAGATGATGTGGTTTCTACACAGAAAAAGGTCATCTGGTTAACTATATATTTTTTTCCTTGCTGTCTCAGATTAAAGTTCTATTGTTCATTAAAATATTTTTTTAAATGGCATTTCTGGAATGCAAATTTAGTTTACAATGGTATGTGTAATGAGGGAATGAGCAAGGTTCCCTTGAAACACACTCACATAAAGCTGGTCGTGGATGTTAGCTCCATGCTTCAGCAAGGTATCCACCACTTGCATGTGCCCATACTGACTGGCGGCCAACAGGGCAGTGCCCCCATCCTATGGACATGCAAGTAGAAACATTTTAGAAATGGTGCAGGCACAACTCATAGCAAATACACGCGCCTCATGTAGCGAGAACTTTGGAAAAGAGCTTTCCATAGATGGTAACAAACTCACAAACTGGTATTTCCTCTTTGGTCCCTTTTACATTTTCTTCTCCTAATTTGTGTGTGTGTGTGTGTGTGTGTGTGTGTTAATCCTCACTTGAGGATATTTTTTCCATTGATTTTTAGAAAGAGTGGGGAGGGAGAGAGAGAGAAACATTGATGTGAGAGAGATACATCGACTGGTTGCCTCCTGCATGTGCCCTGACCACGGCCAGGGATCAAACCCGCAACCCAGGTTGCCCTTGACTGGGAATCAAACCTGAGACCCTTTGGTCTGCAAGCTGATGCTCTAACCACTGAGCAACACTGACCAGGTCCCTTTTATGTTTTCTTTATAATGGTGACAGGGTTCATCTTACAGACTTCATTATGTTGTACACGTGATGAAGTGCTTGAGATCTATTACAGTTGTTTAAGCTATTATGACTAATTTAGAAATTCCCATGTCTATTAAACTTACAAAGTGATCACTTTGTAAGTTATATAAATGTCTGATCACTATGTTGTATACCTGAAACTAATATAATCCTGTATGTCAACTGAAATTGAAAAATAAAAATAAATAGAAATTTCCCATGTCAAACGCAGACTGGTCTATTTGCCTCTCAATAAAGGGAACAAAGAACAGAAAGTCTATACTAGTCAGTTCTGTCTTGGAATTACCAGAATAGTCTCCTTGGCTTCTGGCCAGAGACCCTCTTGACAAACATTGGCTTCTCCCTATGGTCCCTCCCACTGCAGGCCCCTGAGATGAAGGTGCTTTTACAGGGTGACCTCTGGGGCCATGGCCTCCACGAAACAAGATCTGCATCCATTAGAAGAATGGATAATTACAGCCTATTCCAGGGGCCTCTAACCATCCTACTTAGCATTTTCCTTTGAACATGTGCCAATCTGTCCAGGTCTTTTTAAAAACGTGGGCCCTCGAACCAAGCAGAGCACTGTGAAGTGGATGTGGTCTGATGTGGAGTGGGGCATTCCTTCGTTCCATCCACTCCACTTTCATTTCTGCAGCCTAGATTAGAATTAACTTTTATGTCAACCACATCACACCACTGATTCACTGAGTCTGTGGTCAACCGAAATCCTTAATGGTTTTTCTCAGGTGCTGAAGCGAATGAATGCCTTATCTTCTCCCATCTAGGGTTAGTGTCCGTTTGGCTCTGGGAATTGGTATGTAGGCATTTCAGCTAATTATACATAATGCAAGAACATGTAATCTGGTTCTAAAATACAAATCATAAATGTGAGACAGGGTGGTTTCTAAATTTGGGCATAGCGTGTTTGTTGAAAATGGCCCCCCACGCTGGAGCCCCATCCTCAGGTTCACTCGGTCTGGGGTGAGGTCCCGAAGCGGGCCTTTGGCCGTCCTGTCAGGTGACTGAGGGGAGCAGGCGGCAGACGGGCCTCCGTGGAGAAACACTGCTACAAGGGCCCCCGCGTTCACAGGCAGGCGAGGTCCGGGGAGGCATGCGGCTGAGTAGGGCTTCAGCAAAGGCTGGGTTGTGTGTGGGGGAGCTGAGTGTAGAAGGGTGAGGAATGGAGGAGAGAGACTGAAAGGCTGAGGTAGTAGAGGGGTGTGTGAGAGCTGGGTAAGCATCAAAAAATTGCTTAATAACAGCAATGAGCAACCAAGTTTCCAAGTTGTTGTTTTTTAATCCTCACCTGAGGATATTTTTCCATTGATTTTTTTTTTTTTTTTTTGATAGAGTGGGAGGGAGGGAGAGAATGAGAGAGAGAGAGAAACATTGATGTGAGAGACATATTGATTGGTCGCCTCCTGCACGACTTCTGCTGGGGCTGGGGATCGAACCCACAACCGAGGTATATGCCCTTGACTGGGAATCAATCCCAAGACTCTTTGGTCCACAGACTGACACCCTAACCACCGATCCAAACCAGCCAGGGCTCCCAGTTTTTTTCTGCCAATTTTCTCAGCTCTTTGCCTAAAGAGTTTAGAGAACAGGTTAAATATGATGATTGTCACAGAAGAGCTAATCACTTTTATTTTTTAAATACATTTTTGGGGATACAGGTTTCATAACAATGAGAACAATTGTTGACACAAGTCAGTTTTGACGACAGGATCATATGAAAACTCAAAGCCTCCCGACACTTCTTCCCATGGGAAGCTCTTGGAAACCTGCAGTTGACCTAATGGAAATGTGGAATGGTTCACCTGGGCCCCATGTTCCATGGATTTCTGGGACCACACAAACAGGCTCGTCTACAAAGGCTTTAAGCCAGCACTAACTTGCTAACCAAAAAGCCTGAAGCAGCCATATGGTTACACATGATCATTCTGACATAGTCCAAAGAGTTGAGATTTAGATTTGTAAAACTTTGCTTTTTGTTTTAATTTTATCACTTTTATAATGAAGAATAAAATGATAGCCCTGGCTGGTTTGGCTCACCGGTTAGAGCATTGACCCAAGGACCAAACGGTCCGGGTTAGATTCCCAGTCAAGGGATCGTACCTGGGTTGCAGGTTCCATCCCTAACCCCGGTCGTAATCATTCAGGAGGCAACCAATCAGTGAGTCTCTCTCACATCAATGTTTCTCTCTCTCTCTCCTCCTCCCTCCCTCCCATTCTATCTAAATATCAATGGAAAAATATCCTCAGGTTAGGATTAACAACAACAACAAAAGAATACAATAATTAATGTAAAAATATACACACATATATCTTGTTTATTACATTCGACATGTTTGCAGCATGTTTGGAGGCACTGATGTAGTCCAACAGCAGATGTCAGAAAAGACAGAAACCTGATATTCAGATGTATGTAATAGTTATCATTTTAGTCAGGAAAAAACCCAGTGGAAACTCCCTTGATACTGAAATATAAAATACAATGAATTAAGAAAACCTGAAAGTTTCCTACTGGGGCAAATTCTCAGGAATTTTTGGTCATGAGTTGGCCAGAAATAAAGTTGACAATTTAAAATTTTATGGCAGTTCAAATTCTCCTACTATAAAACATTATCACTTAAAATCATATTGTGAACACAAAGTTGATCTCCCTACAGTCTGTTTTCTTAGCCACATGTCCAATACGAAGAATCAGTGACTTCTCTTGCCCCGCTATATAAACTGCAATCATATATATTTCAGCGAGGACATCTCAGAAGGTAAACTACCTGCCAAATTACCCTCCTTAGAATCTCTGAGATTCACTAGGAGTGGCTTAATACTCCAACATTTCCTATCACAGCACTGGGATTAGCCTTGAAGTAGAACACACACACACACACACACACACACACACACACACACACGAAAACAGGAACTATCTAAAGCACCTGCTACTGTATCCATCCTGGTAACAAAATTTAGTGTTCCAGAGTGGAAAGCTACAAATGCAAAAAAAGAATCTAAGTAATTCCTCATAAAATTGTCCAATTGCAAGACCAGAGAAAAAAAATGTTGTTTTTTGAAGTGAATCCCTAAGACAATCCCTGAACCATTGCAAGGAACCCTGTGAAACTCACCTTCTGAGGCTAGAAAATCTTGCATAAAAGGAAGCAAAAATATGTATTATAGATTAAGAGAAATAAATACTCATGATTGCTGAAATTCCTCAATAGGGTATGAAATCAAGAAAATTCTCTTACTTTTGTTCTAAATTCAGTGGATGCTCCAAATTCAAAGAGAAATCTCACGACATCATTATGGCCTTGCTGGGCAGCGAAGAACAGGGCAGTTGTACCTGACTGAAAGAGAGACAGAGGCTGGTTTTAAAAGAGATTTGGTTAGCCCTGGCTGGAGAGCTCAGTTGGTAGAGTGTCGTCCTGATGCCAAGGTTGCAGGTTTGATCCCCAGTCAGGGCACCTTTAAGAAGCAAACAACGTGCGCTGGCTGGTTTTGTTTGGCAGTTAGAGCATCGGCCTGAGGACCAAAGAGTCCTAGGCTCTATTCCGGCCAAGGGCATATACCTCGGTTGTGGTTCGTCCCCAGCACCGGCTGGGGTCCTGTGCGTGGCAACCAATCAATGTGTCTCTCTCACACCCATGTTTCTCTCTCTCTCTCTCTCTTCCTTCCTCTCTCCCTCATGCTCTATTTGGAGATAAATGTAAAAAGATCCTCGGGTGAGGATTAAAAAAATAAAATAAAAAAGCAACCAATGAATACATAAGTAAGTGGAACAACAAATGGATGTTTCTCTCTCCCTCTTTCTTTCTCTAAAATCAATAAAAAAATTTAAAAGGGCATTTGTTACATTACATTTAACTTACACATTTGCCAACAAACAAAACAATCCTTGCATTAATAACTTCTAGCCTAGGAAATGGCTAAACTGATTATATTCTTTGGTCAGAGGTGAAAAGGACCTTTGGACAGGATGAAAAGGAACTTTATTCTTGGTGCACTGGAATGAACGGTGGACTTTCAGAAGATATGTCTTCGTCCTAACTCCTGGAACTCGTGATATTACTTATATGGCAAAAGATGTGATTAAGTTAAGGATTTCGAGAGGAGGAGCTTATCCAGGTGGGCCCTAAATCCAATGACAAGTGTCTTGATAAGAGTGAGGCAGAGCAGTAGTTGGCACACAGAAGAGACACAGACAATGTGACCACAGAGGAAAGATCAGAGTGATGGGGCCACAAGTCAAAGAATGCCAACAGTCAAGAGCAAACTCCTCTGGAGTCTGCAGAGAGAGTATATCCTTTTGACACCTTGCATTTCCTGTTCTTCAGAACTGTGAGAGTATAGATTTCTGTTGTGTTCAGCCACCTAGTTAAGAGGGTGTGCACATGTGCGTGTGTGTGTGTGTGTGTGTGTGTGTGTGTGACAGGATCAACCAAGGCCTACTGCTGTGGTAGGACACATGCTAACACTTTCCCAGAAGCAGTAAAAAGCTAATATACTTGGAATGGTATTTGGGGAACACCCAAATGGGGAAGAATTCTGGAAGTGGTCTGGTTACAAAAGTTATTGCCCCAGAGTAGAAAGCTACCTGTACAAGAAAGAATCCAAGTAATTCATGCAAATGGACCCAAATATTTCCCCAAATAGGACAAATTAACATGAAACAGTCTGATTCTAATTTTAAACTTAATGATATTCTGAGACACAAATTTTTAGCATCCTTTCTTTATAGGCATTTTTTTATAAACTTACTCAAAGATTGGTACCCAAATCCTTGTGTAATCTGAGCAAAATCACCATCCCACTGACGTGGGAAATGTATATTTTTCATATAGAGATACTCTTCACTCCTGTGCTTTGAGCATGGGATGAAGCTAAGACAGCACTTTCCCAGTGAAGAGAAAACCAGCTGGGAGTATTAAGGTGGCAGGTTCTCATCTAGGTGTGACAAGCCGGGGAGAGCACGTCCTATGGATTACTGATCACTCTGAGTCTCATTCTTAAGAGGGTGTGCACATGTGCATGTGTGTGTGTGACAGGATCAACCAAGGCCCACTACTGTGGCAGGACACATGCTAACACCTTCTCAGACATCACTCTCTCTCTCAGGCTGTGCCCCACCACACTCTGTCCCAGGAAGGTACAGGTGGCATGACATTTGCAGAGCCTTTCTGCCTGTGACGCAGAATTGGTTTTCTCCTTGGTTCTCACAGAAACAAGTGGGAAACATCTGCTCATGGCTTTCTTACAGTGGAAGATGTTAGGTTCCAGACACCTTACGATATAAGGACTGGCTGGAGAAACTTGGCTAGATAGGAAAGCAAGCCCTCACCTTCTTTATAGACATCCATTTTATACTGCCCAAGTTCATTTCGAGGTGTTGTTTGTTCATTAAGAGAAAGGATTTGTTTTTCAATAAGCTTTTTCTTTTTTGATAAATGACAAAAATCACATTTACAGCAGTTGGAGCCGATTTGGGAATGTGCACACTGTTAATCATCGAGCACATGCACACGGCAGCCTGTAGACAGCAGGGGCTTGACTTCAGTCTGGAATGTGAATGAAGGTCTTCAGTGCATGGACCTTACTCCGGAAACCCAGGGCCTCGTGACAAGCACGCGTACAGCTTCCACGCCTGAGCGTTTTACTCAGTCAATACTGCTGAACTCCAGAGCAATGAGCTCCAGGCCCACTAGCTTGTAGTCTGCCTAGCAAGCTGTGTGTCTAGATAGCCAAACTAAGAAAACAGTGGCAGGTATTTTTTTTGGAAACAAATATTCTGATACTGCAAAATGGTTTACAAAGAAACCAAGGCAGAAGAAGTCTGCTCTGTAAGTTCCACAGCACGGCAAGGCACGCCCTTGCAGATTCCAGAACACGCCAGGTGAGGTTGGGGCCTCTTTGGCTTAGCAGCTTTATTGTCCCAGACTCCCACAGCCTCAGGGGATCGCCAGGAACTTACATCGCATCATTATTGAGCCACACAGGTTACCTCCACACTGGGCATACTTCGGTAAGTCTTCAAGGGCCACTGTGTTCAATGCACAATAGTTTACCTCTTCAAGAACATGAGCTGAGCAAATGGAACCAATCAGACAATATAAACACAAAACCATAAAAACCATACATTGGCTGGAAATCAAACAAATGTTTCTCTTCTCGCAGCTTTCTCAGGTATTTTTGTGCACTTGAACTTGCCTTTAAGGATAGTTTTTGAGCAAGCAGAGCTGGATCACATTGTTTTTATTAGAGAAAATCTCTCTTCTTCAAAGTTAAAATAAACAAAGGCTGTAAAGCAGAAGAGGAAAAATAAAAAAAGAAAAGGGTAATTTTAAACTATAATTCTCAATGGGCCCAAACATTTTCTTCCAAAAAGACAGCTGCTGAAGTGAAAATGACCTAACAATGACTCAGTTACGGAAACTGTTCGGGAGAATCTGTCTGTGAGAAGATTCTGGTTGAATTTGCTGTAGTCTGTATACTGCTCCTGCCAATAGACCAGGCTTGCTGGTCCAGGGCAACGAAGGACCAGACTCTGGATTCTGTCCATTGTCACTCTCCCATGGTCCACGGCCAAGGCGACGCCCACCGGGAGATGAGACTTCTAGATGCCCTATGGAACATCAGCCCTTACACATGGTGCGTTGTAATTTGCTCCACACCAGGCGGCAGTCCAGCCCACAAGACGAGGTGCACTGCTTGACGGAAGTGTGGACAATGACTTGTCCTTTCTGAAACAACTGTAGGGCAGGCGTTCGAATAAGAGTGGATCAAGGGCCCTGGTCGGTTTGAACAGCGGTTAGAGCATCGGCCTGAGGACCAAAGAGCCTTGGGTTCAATTCCGGTCAAGAGCATGTATCTTGGTTGTGGTTCAGTCCCTGGCCCTGGTCAGGGTTGTGCAGGAGGCAATCGATGTGTCTCTCTCACATTGATGTTTCTCTCTCGCACGCTCTCTCTCTCCCCCTTCTTCCCTCTCACCCTCCCTCTCACTCTATCTGAAGATAAAGGGAAAAATATCCTTGGGTGAAGAAAAAAAAAAGTGTATCAAGGAACACCTGGCACTCCAGTTTGTTTTGGAGCTTGTCCCCAAACACCCATCTCTGGTCTGTCAGTGAGGACTGAGCTGCGGGTGTGTCTCCATGAAGGGCACTTTCCCAGGCCCTAAGTTGTCTTGGAAATATACGAACCCTTCTCAGACCTGAATCCCAAAGTGTGTTCAAATGTCCGAGCCTGTCACTATTTCTCTACATGGGACCAAGAAAGTATCCTCTGCCCAGATGGAACTCCGAGATTGCCCTGGAATGAAGTGTGGGACCAGGCTCACATTTTAATCCAATGCTCACCACATGGGCTTTGGAGTGGGGGGAGCTTATGTAACACACAGCCAGCCAGAGAAGTCCTTCGAAAACATGGCTTGGGGGCAAGGGGTGGTTGAGATAGTCTAGCGAGTGACCCTCATTAAGAACAAGTTGGCGACACAGTCCTTCTAAAAATATAATGATCTCTATGAAAATCCTATAAATTCTAGAGCATCTCATCCCAAGGGAAGAAGGAACAATTGATTTAAGCTTGTGACAAAATACTGGCGTGTTTCAGGAATGTGGTTAGAGGTCTGGTTATCTGACTGCAACACATGCCTGAGAAGACATGTTCAACTTAAGTACAACCAATGGTCAGTCCCTGGGCCTTGTTTTAGACATAATGACGCCTGCAATCTGGGCTTTAGTATCTTACAGGAGAAAGGCAATGATTACTCTTACCCATCTTAACAATTCACTGTTTTGAAAGCATCAAGCCTCTGTCACCTGGGTCATTCTTACTCAAGTGCAAAACCTGACCTACCTCTCTCTGGAGATTGATGTCTGCTCCTTGGAGAACAAGTTCCTTCACACAGTCTATGTGACCAGCGTAGGAGGCGACCATGAGGAGCGTGGTGCCGTACTGGAGGCAGGAGAGACAGGTAAATGGTTAGGCCATCGTATGTCAGAGAGGGGTCCCGGAGAGGAGGATGCAGAGAGGTCAGCACCACTCGGCACGTCCAAGCACATTTCCCTCAGTGATACATGTCTTATGAGTAGTCTTATAATGTAGACTAGATGGGGGAAAAAGCCAAGTGATGATTGCTGAGGCTGGAATTTTCCATGGAAAATGTACTTCTTCCATTACCCTCAGAAATGTGGTCCAAGTGAACCATGGTTACTGCATTTTAAAACAGTAGTGACGTAATGATATCATTTTATGATTCATATAAAATTATTCTTGAACCAAAACACTGCTTTTAATGCAAAGCATGGGTTGAATGGTACCAGTTGGTTTTCTGGGTTTGGATGTCTTTATCTTCAAACTGATTCAGGCAGAGATGAAGGCACTGTGATGAAATAAGAGACTACAGAAGAGTCAGGAGCCCTGGGACCAAGTAGACCTCTGTTGTTAACCAAAGTGTAACTGGGGCAAGTTGCTTACAATCCCTGGAGCTCATTGACCTCATTTTTAATATGGGGGGGGGGGGGTTGGACAAGTGACCAAGGTCCCTTCCAGCTTTCAGATTCAAGGACTGGAGGAGTACCATCTGACGCGGACCCTTCCAGTTCAAGTGAACCTTTGTATTTAATTCATCGTCACCAAGGGCTTGACATTGTAATCTAAGCCACCACCTCTGCACACTCAGCAACCTGCCTTCCAGGAGTGGATGACAAGAGACAGAGGTTTTGCACATGAGGAAGGCTGTGTAGGGCGGGGAAAAGGGACTCTTAGGAGCGTTATCTGCATCTGTGGGATTTTGTAGGAAGGCAGTAGAGTTCAGTAGTCCCTGACAGTATGAGCTTGGGTGGGTTATCTAACATTTCAAAGGCTTATTCTCTCATCTGTAGAATGGGGAATAATTCAAGTATCTACCTGATTAAATGAAATGGGAAAAAGAAAATTCAGGCAATGGGCTTAGCACAGTAATGTTAGATATTTATTTGGCAAATGTTAGACATTAAAATAATATTATAACAGTTCAGTAAATGTTAGGTTATCATCTGTCATCTGGCTTTTGTTGACTTCTGTGAACGACAATGCTACTTTTGGAAGCCTTGTTTGCTATAAAGAAAAGGTACAGGCAGTCAAGAAAAGCTAATGTCTTCAGAGAAGTGATCTGTGGTACTTTCTCTACTCCATATGACTGTACTTGGTATTTCAATGTAAGACTTTCACTTAGAATGTACCGTCCATTATTCAGTTAAACGCCTTCTTCCATATTTTCCAAGATTGGAATGGCAAGCTTGGTATACTAACTTTCTCTTGAACATGAACAATTTTTATTTAGATTATAGATAAAAAAAAAAAAAAAAAGAACCCTTGATTTAAAGCCAATCTAAACTGATAAGCTATGATTATATTCTTTACATGAAGGGTGAGAAAATATTTTTACCATGGGTCACACTGATCTCAAAATAAAAACCAATCATGAGCCAGAGGAAGCACAGAGCACTTAATTTGGATATTTTAAAAAGAAAATAAAAAATGTTAGGCTCATCTGTATTAACATAAGGAAAAATGAACGAAACAAATACCAAAAGTGTCTCTTTATAGCTTGTATTTCAATTCTACATGATGGTCAACTGAGAAAAAAGTCAGAGGTTGAGATAAAGGAAAAAGAGAATAAAGAAGTGGTACCTGTTGATGATTTGCTATACAAAAATATTTCCTTTATATTCGAAACCTATTAGCTTGACTGATTTTAATTCTCTAACAATTAAGGTTACTTCATTTCATTACCTGATGTTAAAATATATCTTTTAAAACAGGCTGATTTTGAACAGAGGACATTGTGGATATAAATGTAGGGTAGACCACGACCAACATGATGATGAAATATATACATTCATATGTGCAAAAAGTCCAAAATAACCTTGCCATTGCACATCTTTGTGGTAAAAGTGTCAGAGAGATGAGCAAAGCAAAAACTATAAACATCTTTAAAGACAGCATTAATCTAGGAACTGAAGGTGAATGAGCGTTAGCAAACCAAAATGTTGCCTATAGTGGGTGGCCCGGGGATAATGCGTATTTGTCCTTTACAAGGCTGTTTACTGAGAAAGTTTGAATGGGGTCACACTTGAGGTTAGGGCAGTTCCCAGCAAAGGTCTGGGGCCTCTCCTTTCAGTCTATCAGCTCTCACAGGTGTCCTTGGTGATCCCGAGGCTTGGTCCCATTGATGAGGGCAGTACTAGTCCAGAGACACTTCACCACAAGGAGAAACCATCCTGGAACCCGGACTCCACATCAGGTGGCATGTGGAGGAGGCAGAAACCCACCCAGTGAAGTTTGGGGGGGACAAAGGCCTGCACTGTTCCCAAACATCTCCCGTCTCTCAATCAATCTTAGAAGCCCTTTCAAAATAAGAGAGTCTGAAATCAGCATCATTTAGACTTGCTCCTTTGGGTTAAGGAATCATCTTTCTTGAAATTTTCTAATAAAATGACATTTTGTTTTAAACAAGGAGTAACCTAAAAACATATTAGTATCTATTTATAAAAGCAATTTTTAGAAAAGTCAAAATAGCTACTGGGTAACTCAGCAGAGAGACAGAACGTGGGCTCGGAGGGGAAAGGAGGCGGTGGTAGGAGGGGGCCTCTGATGAGAAAGGGCACTGAAGGGGCTGACAGTGCGGGGTGCTGTCTGGGGGAAAGGGCGTGTGTGGCACGATGAGGTGACCCTGGGAAGCTGAAAGCAGGAGATAGTCATAGGGATGTCTGAAAAGGAGTGGCTTTGAGAAAACAGATGAAAGTGATCATCAACGTGGACAGATGAGGCCACAGTGAAAACCAGCGTCCCTGCTCCAGCTTTGCCCAGTGTGGCCCTACTGCCCAGCAAGATTCAAGTAAGAGCGGGATGGCCAGTCCACGGGTGCCCAAGACACCGTCTCAGTCTGGGTCCTGGCAAGAACAGATGCTACATTCAAATTGGGATAAGTGGAAGAAAGTTTAACAAAGAGACTATTTATAAAGCTGTGCCCTGGGTGCAGGGACATTATAAGAACGGTCGCACGGGGAGCTAGTAAGAGTGGGTCCACCGCCGGCCCAGCCTGAAGGCACGAGGGGAAGGGGGTGGCTTCTGAGATGCTGTTGCCAGAAAGAGCAGTGGGGAGGGGGCACTGGGCTCCCCAACATCTCTGTCCTTCTCCCTCTGACTCCTGCCAATGCTCCCATTGGCCAAACCCAACGGGAAGGCAGAGAGAAGCAAGTCCTCTGGGATGGGCCATACAGTTCAGAGGCTGGGACTCGGGAAGCTGGAGAAGGGTACGGGTGGATCGGGAGGTGCAAACCCAAGATACCCTGACTGACGCCCAGGGGGGGAACAGGAGCACACTGATATGGCCCTCGGGCTGGTGGCTGACCTCAATTACCACATTTGTGCAATAAAAGCTGGAAATGGCACATCCTGTTTTCAGGAAAACAATAAGGCTCCTTTGAAAAAACATTTTTATTTAAATCTCAAAATCAAAACATGTCTGTGAGCTCTCTCTCTCTCTCTCTCATTTGAGGTCCTTCTTGTCCCCAGGGATGTGGAGAAAGCCTGCTGAGTACAGAGAAATCATTACCTCTAGCTGGAGAGGGAGGGGCTGTCTTAGTCTGCCAATGGGCAGTAGTGTCTATTTTTAGTTCCCCTTAATTGCCAATTAGTTGTATTGATGTTTGCAAAGGCAATGAGAGAATGAGGAGCTCCGGGGAGTCTCCCATTTCTCAGTTCTCTCATCCTTGTAGGAAGAAACCTGACTCCCACCTCCACAGCAGCCCCCTTCTGCTCTAAATTATCTCCACCTTTTCATGAAAGCAGCTGGTTTGAGTTCTCTGACTAAACGCTCATCTCTTCTCGGAATCTGCCAGTGCTGATTCCTGGTGAGGTGAAGTGTCTCTTTCCCTACTGGGGCCTCCTGTTTTATGTGTGTAACTGTTTCCCCGATACACTGTTAAGTTCATCACGGTACCCTGGACTTTTTGAAAAGGACAAAGCAAGCAAACCCATGAAAGAGTAGAGCACTGTAAGGGAAACGTGTTTAGGAGGTGCTGTCATGCCAGCCGGGGGCCGTGGCATGCTCCTGGCACGCGTATACGAACGAGTCCACCGTACACTGTCCCTGCAGTCCACGTCCACCCGGCCGCTGTTCAGCAGCAGCCTGAGCAGGGCCAGGTTCCCTCTCCTCGCGGCCCAGAATGCGGCATTGGCAAGTGGAGTTTCCTTCTGCAGAAGCAAAATGAAACAGGACCTTAAAATCAACGTCAGTTAACACGACCACTTCTACGCACATATACACCACTCAAAAGGCAGTTTCCAGATGTGTCATATCATTTGCAGGGCTGCTCCTCCACCAACAGATACCTGTAATCTACTGGGTCATGGAACTCAGTTTTATAGCGGATACCTGAACCCCAAGGCTGTTTATGAAGAGCAAGCTGTTGATAATAAATACAGCGCTATTAATACCCTATTTCCCACCAATGTACTCACTTTCCTGCCTCTGTGTCTTTGTTCACAGTTTCCTTTTTGCTTAAAATGAGTTTTTCCCCATCCTTCAAGGCCAAGGCTCTTTTTAAATGCTATTTCCTCTCTGAAATGTTCCCAAATCTCTCTTCACCTCTAAGCAGAGAAACCGCTTCCAATTCTGATGTCCCAAAGGAGTTTACTAGCACCTTCTCTGTGCCCTCAACATCTTCTACCCAATTCCAGCGGTCTGGGTAAGGGCCTCACCTTCTTTCCACCTCATTTTCTTTGCTTTGGCTGGAACCTGCCAAGGGTTGCAGTTGAGAACCAAGAACTCTGGGCAGAAAATGCTGTTACATGTCCTCCTATGGATCCTTCATGCTGGGCTATTTTAAAGTTGAAAAGTTAATGTTGGAACCAGACCTACAGAAGAACAGAGCTAGAAAACAGGTCTCCAGAATGAGGGCGGCAGAGCTGGCGGCAGTAAAACTTCCTTCTCCGAAATGTAGAGCAGCTGTGGTGGGGGCGGCGGGGAGGACAGGCTTGGAACCGGGCAGCTCTGGGTCTCAGGCCCAGCCCTGCACTCCGGACTTGGCCCTGCCGGGTCTCAGTTTCCTCTTGCTTAGGCAGAGATCACATTACCTGCTCTACAGCTTAAGATAAGGATTAGGAACAGCCCAAATGTCCATCAATAGATGAGTGGATAAAAAAGCAGTGGTACATATACACAATGGAGTACTATGCAGCTGTAAGAAAGAAAGATCTCTTATCCTTTGAGACGACATGGAGGGACCTGGAGAATATTATGCTAAGCGAAACAAGCCAGAGAAAGACAAATACCACATGATCTCACTTATTTGTGGAATATAATGAACAAAACAAACTGACGAACAAAATAGTCCCAGAGACATAGAAGTAGGGTACAGACTGACAAACCTCAGAAGAGGAGATGGGGAGGGGGAGATAAACCACAGAACTTATATGCATGTATGCATAATCAATGGACATAGACAACAATGCTGGGGTTGGGGGTCGGGAGGAGGGTGTCAATGGGGGAAAAAGGAGAAACATCTGTAAAAAAATGAATAAAAAAATTGTTTTAAAAAGATAAGAATTAAATGATATAGGTTAACTGTGGGGCCCCACACATGATAAATGCTTAAAAATGCTCATATCCTTCCCTCTCTCCCCTTTTCTTTACAAAGTTAGAATCAGCAGGCAAAATTAAACTCAGACTATTGGTACTAAATAAAGAATGTTGTTGGTCTCAGAAAATTTGCTAGTGTTCCAATTGTTTAACAGAAAGACTTTTTTGAGTGGGCTTAAAACACCTGCCTGACCCTTTTATGCAAGGCCTTTTAAGTGTACGGACAAGGTAATAAACACAACACCTAACTCCCCTTCACTAAGTTACAGGGAAAACACCAACAGCTGAAGCTCGTCCACGGAGCCACCTAAGTGGACGCTCAGCGCCAGTGGGTGTGTGAGGACTTCGTTCCAGAACCTTCAGCACACACACAGCCGAGTGCCCTTGTGTCTTCTCGGACGAGAGCGCGGCCAAGCGGGGAGCGATAAGCAGATTACAAACATACTTTGAATAGTTTCCTGGCTCAGTCAGGAGGGGGAAAAAGTCACCTCAAATTCCAGGTGAGCCATTTGCTTTCCCCGAAGGTGTACATTTCACGGTCCCAGGAGTTTTCGGACAACTGCAACGGTGGTGTTCACACCCCGTGTTTGTGGCTTGTGCACGTCATAGTTTTTATTAACTGGGTGAAGCAATAGTAAGGCAGGCTTGACTTGTATAATAAATCATGAAACAATGCCTCTTTAATAAAGGGACTGCACGCGGCCAAAACCAAGTTTGAGAGGGTAGGTTAGGAAGAGAGCTGAACATGCACCATGGGAGCAGCTCTGCTGGCATTTCCTGGAACATGAAACTAGAGGGTAAGGAATTATAAATAATTTTCAGTGGTTTTGTTATTTCACATTAACCCTAAACACCTTTCAAAAACCATCAGCGGCCCTGGCCAATTTGGCTTAGTGGTTGGAGCGTTGGCCTGTGGACCAGAGAGTCCCGGGTTTGGTTCCTGCTAGGGGCACGTACCAAAAAAAAAACCTATCAGCAAACCACAATCTTTTATTGCCATCAAGAGCTCCCCAGCCAGGAGCCTCCAGGATGGCATTCGGGATTCCTCTCCTGCTCAGGCTACACATCCTGGTTTCCTATAAGGTTCTAGAAAGCAAGCTTTGCGAAAAGCTGTACATATTTCACTTTTCGCTCGAGGGCTTGGTTTGCTGGGAGGTGGAGGCATGACAGAGTAGTCAATTTGGGGTAAGAAAGAGTGGAGTTCAAGTTCTGACCCTGCTACTTCCCAGCTCTGTAACCTTGGGTGGGTTATGTACTTCTCTCTGCCCCAGTAAAATGGGAATAATAATAATACCTCATTCGGGTGCTGTTGGAAGATTAAATGAGATAATACACATAAATGCATGTTGATAGTAAACACACAAGAAATCTAGCTATAAATGCACAGCCCTCACAGCTTGTTAAAATACTGTCCAGGCTAATTCGTTTACTTGGTCAGAAGCATGTGCAAGGGACACTGGCACTGGCCAGGGCTCAGGACTAGTGGTGTGAGTCATCCGATCTCTGCTCACAAATAATTTTACAGCCCAGAAGGAAAATAAGTCAAGTCAAGAGGCATCAGAGTTACTATAGGTGCCAGAGTAGGAGTGCAGACACTTGGGAGAGCAGGGAATGGTGAATTCTACCTGGGGAAGGTGGCCAAGGATGGCTTCAAAGAGAAGGAATTCTTGGGAAGAGTTCCGAAAGATGAGTAGGGGCCTGGGTGACATGCATCCAGGCAGACAGGGTGGTAAGGCAAAGATGTGGAGGCTCCCCACAGCCTCTGGGCCCTTCCATCCCCACCTTGGAAGGGGTGGAATGAAGGGTGTGAGGAGGCAGGGCAGGGGGTTGTGCAGGGCAGGTAGTCGGGGCCACATCCTGAAGGGTCTGCTGTGCCATGCCAACAGAGTCTGCACTTTACCCTGGTGGGCATGGGCGAGTCGAGGAAGGTTTTATGGTGGGGAGAGACCATCCATTAGTGTTGCAGGAAGGTTCCTGTGGCAGCCTCAGGGAGAGTGGATGAGGCCTGGAGTCAGATGAGACGGGTATCTGTGAGGGTTAGGAGACTGCTGCATACACGGGGCAAGCGAGGATGAGGGCCCGAGCTGAGGCCACAGTGGACTGGCCGGGTGAGCCAGACAGGAGACATTTCGGGGAGCTAAAATGAACAGTCTTGGTCTGCGGCTGTATGCGCAGGAAAGCAGGGAGGAGGAGCCTGTACTGACCCTCCGGTTTCTGGTTTGAGCGCCTGGTCGATGTGGTGCTATTCATAAAAGTCGGCAATAATGTATGAGGGACAGGTTTTGGGAAAAAGGGTAAGTTCAACTTTAAACATGCTGTTTCAAGTGCCTAAGGGGCATCTAGGTGGAAAGGTCTAGCAAAGAAATGGGCAAGTTCTCCTATCACACGGGGGCAGACACATTAGTGGAGGGCAGGAATCTTGAGCTAATAACTAAATGCTTACTTTGCACCATTTGGTATATTGTCTGCATGTACTAGCTCATTTGAACCTCATCGTAGCTCAGTGAAGTAGGTACTGTCACCATCCCACTGCAGTGGGAAATGACAAGGCAGGCTTCGGTCACAGGCTTCTGGTGCTGGTGGCTGCCCTTTCGGCCATCACACTGTCCTGCCTTCCTGTGGAATTGTCTTCCTGTAGACAGCAAGGAGTAGGCAGCACGGACCAGTGACCTCCTTCCTATCCTCATTTCAAACTCTTTTTCCGCCAAGGTGCAAAGTCCCCTGACCTTACTTCTCTTTGGGGTCCATGCACACATTTCCTGAGTAACCCCAAACCTCCTCAGGTACAGCATGCACAAAGCCATCAATGCTGTGGAGTGGACCAAGGGGGAGCCCTTTAGTCTTTAAAGGAGACAATGCATGTGACAATGTTCCACACATATCGCCAAGCACGTCAGTAACCATGCTATGCCCACTTCACCTCTTTCTTGATTTCTCTCATCTCAACAAGGCCAGCGAGCCTCTCAGGCGTGTTGGTCGTCATATTATGAGGAACAGCAACAACCATTGCTGACCGTGCTCTGTATCAACCAGGTGCTAAACACTTTCACTGCTCTGACACATTTAATTCCCAGAACAACCCTGTCAGGTAAGTGTTGATACTTTCATTTTAAGATGAGGCTCAGAAGTGAATTACTAAAGGTCGGACAGGATTCACCCCCGTGTGTTTGAGTCCAGAGTCTGAGGTCTTCTATCTTATTACCCTGTGAGAAAAACTAAACGTAAACTTCCACATATGCCACATTTTCTTCTCTTTTTCCCCTCATTTACTGCCAGAATTTTGGCTCGTACACTGTTCATTAGCACACTACCAGAAATTAAGGACAGGAAGGAAGGGGACAGGAAACATAGAAGGGAAACTGTTATTTACACAGAACTGGAATTCCAATTAAAAGCCTAGAGAAGGTAGAGATTTAAATTATTGATTTAAAAAAGAGTTGAGCCCGGGCCAGTTTGAATCAGCGGTTAAGAGTGTTGGCCTGTGGTCTAGAGAGTCCCGGATTCAGTTGCCGCTAAGGGCATGTACCTTGGTTGTGATTTGCCCCCAGCCCCGGTAGGGGTTGTGTGGGTGGCAATCAGTCTGTGTCTCTCTCACATGGATGTTTTGTTCTCT